CCGCCCTGCCCCGCCCCACACCCGGGCACAGGGGTGTCCGTTCCCCGCACTGACGCGCCCCGCGCTCCCGCAGAGGCCCACCCGCGCCCCCCGAAGCCCGAGCCCGCGAAGAGCGTGCCCGGCGTGCTGGCCGGCCTGAGCCCCGCCAAGCCGGCCCCCGTCATCAGCAGCGGCTCGCCCACCATCCTGGGCAAGAGGGGCTACGAGCACCACAACGGCGTGGACGGTGAGTGTGGGCCGCGCCGAGGCGCAGGGCCCGGCCCGCTCGCTGCCCGCTCACCGTGTCTTCTCTCCTCTCTCTCCCGCCGTCGGGCGTGGCCAGGCAACATGAAGAAGCGCCTCTTGATGCCCAGTAGGGGTAAGGCCTGGGGCGGCCGCTGGTGGGGTGCCTGGATGTGCTCGTGTGCATGGCAGCCGGCGGCCCGGCCACGGCCCCGGGGCAGTCCACAGGGCCGGGCCGCGCCCTCCTCGCACCGAGCCCCGAGGCCCCCACCCGGACGCTGTCCCCCGGCTCGTGGACTGTCCTCGCGGGTGTGGCCCCCGCTGCCCGCCTCGCGGTCGTGCTGACTGCCGCATGCCTCTGCCTTAGCTCCTCGGGCCGCTCGCCGCCCCCCCTTTGTGCCTGGCGGGGGCTGTGGGACCCCTCTCGGGGGAGGGGGCGGACGGGCGGGGCTGTGCGCGCTGCTGGGGGTGGCGGCGGGCACCTGGGACCCCGCCATCAGTCCCCTCCCCCCCACAGCACTGCTGACACCCTGAGGCCTCCAGTAGCCGCTGCCCCCTTGGTGGGCCACGTACAGGACCATCCGGGGACCAGGCGGCCACAGAGGGGGTGGGGGGGTGTGCCCAGGCAGAAGGGCACGGGCGTCCGTGTGGACCTGCCCAGGCAGGGGGCAGCAGGCAGTGTCCTACTATTGCGGCCCCTTCCCCCAGCGTGGTGGGGCCAGGTACCCCCCACACGAGCCCTGCTCTGGCCTTGCAAAGCCCCGCTCAGCACGCGGCGTGCCCGGGCGCCCTCGCTGTCTGTCTGTGCCCTGGGGCTCCCCGCACTAACGCTCCCCTGTGCTTCCTCCCTCTGCCGCTGGCCGTGGTAGGCACTTACCTGGGTAAGTGGTGTGGGTGGTGCTGGCCTTCGCACTGGCCACGGGCTGCAGACCAGATGCCCAGGCCCCTCCCAACACTCTCCTCGAGATGCCCCCAAGGGTGCCCATGTCAGGGCACGGCAGGCGGGAGACAGAGCTGACCAGTGGGGGGCATGGACGCGGAGCCTGGACCTCATCCGTCCAGGTGCTGGGTGCTGTTCTCTCAACCAGACCCTCGGGACCACATGTGCCAGGACCCCACACATGCAGGCCCCACACTCCTGCACATGCATTCCTGCTCACCTGCACACTTGCTCCCGCATGCGCACTCCTGCCTGCTCACACCTACATGCGCACACGTGCACACTCACACACCTCCGTGTACATACGTGCATACTCACTCCTGCATGCTTACACATAACCTGCACACACCTGCCCACTCACACACCTACATGCACACACCTGCACGCTCACTCCTACACTCACATGTACACTCCTGCATGCACACCCACACGCTCACACATGCATACTCCTGCATGCACACACCTGTACACACCTGCATACTCCTGCCTGCTCACTTCTGCACACACCCGTATGTGCTCTCACCTGCACACATTTCTGCACACTCACCTGTATGCACACACCTGCACTGCATGCTCACTTCTGTGTGCACACACTTCCACATTCATACCTGCCACACCTGCACGCACACGCTTCCCACACTTACTTCTGCATACACACACCTGCATGCTTTCTCCTGCACACTAACGTGCACTCTTGCATGCTCACTGGTGCATGCACACAACTGCACACTTACCTGCAGACACATCTTCACCCTCGCCTGCACGCGCCCTCACCTGCACGCTCAGTATCTGCTCCAGGTATAGCCGTGCAGCTCTTCGCCTTCCCCTCTGCATGGGAGTTGAGTCTTTGGTGCCAGGAAGCTGGTGTGTGTGTGTGTGTGTGTACCCAGAACCCCTGTCCAGGGCAGAACCTGGCTGGTGTGTGTGTGTGTGTGTGTGTGTACACCCAGAACCCCTGTCCAGGGCAGAACCTGGCTGCTGTGTGTGTGTGTGTGTGTGTGTGTGTGTGTGTGTACCCAGAACCCCTGTCCAGGGCAGAACCTGGCTGTTTTGTCGTCTCTGACCCCAGTCTTGGGGTCCCTCCCAAAGGGCCTCAGTGGCTGGCTGGGGAGGGGACTCTGCAGGTGTCCGAGCCCGCCACAGACGTTGCTGTCAGGCCCCCGGTGCAGGCCGCAGCAGCTTCACCCATGACCCAAGTACACCCCATGCTGCCTTTGTCCTGCCAGTGGGTTGGCCTGGCATAAAGCCCCGAGTCCCTGCAGGCCCTCAGGCTAAGGGGCCGGGGCAGCTGGCCCACGGGGCTGTCTGCTTAGACGGCAGCTCAGAGGCCGCGGTGGCACAGGCCGCGTCCTGGGGTCTCACGCTGCCACCTTGCTCTTGCCAGGTTTGGCGAACCACGGACAGGCCAGGCACATGGTAAGTGGGCTGCAGCATGGGTGTGGCCCGCGCAGGGGGCGTGCAGATGCCTGCTGTGCTCCGGGACGCCGCCTCATCCCTCCTCCCCGCAGGGACCAAGCCGGAACCTTCTGCTCAACGGGAAGTCGTACCCCACCAAAGTGCGCCTGATCCGGGGGGGCTCCCTGCCCCCCGTCAAGCGGCGACGGATGAACTGGATCGACGCCCCGGATGATGTGTTCTACATGGCCACGGAGGAAACCAGGTGGGGCGGGGCGGGGCGGGGCCGCACGTCTCCTCCCTCTGCCCCGCCCGGACGGCGGCCCTGATGCCCGGCTCGCCCCCTCTGCCCGCAGGAAGATCCGCAAACTGCTGTCGTCGTCGGAGACCAAGCGCGCCGCGCGCCGGCCCTACAAGCCCATCGCCCTGCGCCAGAGCCAGGCGCTGCCGCTGCGGCCGCCCGTGCCCGCGCCGGTCAACGACGAGCCCATCGTCATCGAGGACTAGCCCGCCGCGCCCCCGCCCGCCCGCCCGCGCCCGCCCGCGCCCGTTGGTAGTGCCCCGCCCCACGCAGAGAGCCGCCCCGGCGCTCTCTAACTTATTCCGAGATTTGTTCCGAGGAGTCCCGTTAGCTTTGAGTTTCCTTTTGGCCGGAGCGGAGCCGAGGAGCCGCCGTGCGCCTTGCTGCGGGCTCCGCGGCGGCGTCAGTTCTGTTGTGTTCTGTTGAAGGTGCCATTTTAAATTTTATTTTTATTACTTTTTTTGTAGATGAATTTAAGCTCTGTAACTTACACCTGGAATGTTAGGATCGGCGTGGCCGGCCAGTGGGGTTGGCCCCTTGTCTTTTCAAGTAATTTTCATATTAAAAAAAAAGAAGAAAAAAACTCATAAAAAGGAAAAAAACAACTGGTCCTCCGAGCCTTTTGTCTTGGGCTGGATGGCCAGGGGGCTCTGATGGTGGAGAACTGCGGGTCCAGCTCGGGGACCCTCCTGGGACAGGTGCAGCTGGCCAGTTGTGCCCCCCGGCGGTTCCCCAGGTCCCCTCCTCAAGTGGAAATCGCCGCCAGAGATGAAAATAGAAACCACTTCTCCCTTGGGACGCAGATAAGGGCCCTCGGCCTCTTGAGTGCTGAGTGGCGCCCCTCGCCAGCCCTGGCTGTGGCCGCTGGGGGCTGTGACCTTGAGCGGACGGGCCTGTCCGGTCGGAGCGTGACCGCCTGGCAGCCCCTTGCTGGTGGAGGTCTCCGCGCAGGTCATGCAGCGCCCTGCAGGGCAGGGACAGCTCAGGACTGGCAACAGGTCGGGTACCCCTCACTCCTGGGCCAGGGACCCCTTTTGGCACCCCTTGCCCAGCTCACCGAGCCCAGCCTTTGACTAGGTGGCTGGAGGGAGGACGGGACCCTGGACGCACCGGCCTTTCACCCCCCTCTGCATCCGCCTGCGTGCAGGGGCCTGGGGCCGGGGCCTGAGATCTCCGGCACCACCCGCCCAGGCCCTGCGGCGGCTGGGGGTGCCCAGCTGGAGAGGGAATGGTGCAGAGCCAAGTGGGGGACAGTGACCCATGAATTATTCAGAGACACCTGACGCCCCGCAGGGCTGAACTGACCTGCGGGAGCCCCAGGCTGGCCGCCCCTCCTGCTGCAGCCTCGCTCTGGCCGGACGCCAGAGCCGGATACACAGGGAGGGGCCGGTCGGGCTGGTCAGTCGGGTGGCGGGGGAGGCGGGCAGCAGGAACTGAGGCGGCCCAGGAATGCCTGGGTCCTGGGGGGCGCCCGGCTTGCTGGCCTGCCTCGGGCTGGGGTCTCGCCAGGCGCGGGCCGAGCCGGCGGAGGCGGCGCGAGCCAGGTGGGGGCAGAGGATGCTGGCACGGGCGCGCGCGGGCGGTGCCCGGAGCCCGAGGGCCGGGGCCGCCCGCGCCCTGCCCACCGACCCGGCCAGCCCCCTCCCCCACCCCTTCCAGCACTTTCTCCCGTGCTGTTTTTGGAAGCGCCGGCGCCTCGGCTTCCAAGCCCTGCCCTCCACCTCGGCGCCTTCAGCACCACTGACAGTGGCGAGGCGGGGGCGAGGCGGGGCGGGGCGCGGCGGCCGGACCCGGCCCGGAATCCGGCTCCTAGCCGCCGAGCCGCCGTTGCCATGGAAACCGAGCAACAAAGGGAAGCGGGGCTGGCGCCGGGCCGCGGGGTGGGGCGGGGGTCGGGGGAGCCGTCTGGGCGCGGGGCCCGGCGTGCGGACGGCGCTGCCCGTCGGGGCGCCGCTCGCGGGGTCCGGCCGGGCCGGGCCCGGGGCGGGGGGCGGCCCGGCGTCGCCTAGGCGACGGGCGCGCGGCGCGCGGGGCGGGGCGCGGGCGGGGGGCCGGCAGGTGCGCCCCCCGCCCGCCGTGCGCCCCCGGCCCGCCCCGCCCGGCCGCGGAGCCAATGGGCGCGCGGGCAGCGGGCAGCGGGCGGGGCGCGGCGGGCGCGGCCGGGCGCGCGGCGGGCGCGGGCGGCGGGCGCGGGCAGACGGGCGCGGGCGAGCGGGCGCGGCGACCATGGCCTCCAAGTGCCCCAAGTGCGACAAGACCGTGTACTTCGGTGAGTGCGGGTCCCCGGCCGCCCCCCGCCCGCGCGCTCGGAGCCTCGCGCGCTGCGCGGCCACGCCCGAGGGGGCCGCCCGCGGGGCCGTTGGGGCGGGGGGCGGCGGGCCGCGCGCCCCGGCCTTCCCGCCCGCGCACACGTGGTCGCGCCGCCGCGGCCCCGAGCGCGACCCCCGGCCCGGCCCCCGACCCCCGCCCCCGCCCCGCCCGCCGGCGGCCCCGGCCCCGCCTGGACGCCGGCCGCGCGGGGGCGACCTCGGCCGCGGCCTCGCGCGTGTCCCGACGCGCCCGTCCGGGAACTTTCCCACGGCCCGGGCGCGTGACAGCGCGGGAGCGGGAGCGACCAGAAAGTCCGAGTGACCAAGCTCCCACCCCCCTCCTTCGAGGTCAGCCGGCCTGGGCAGAGCTGGTGTCCACAGGGAGTCGCCGGCCAGCCCGGCCGGGGCAACATCCCGACCTCCAGCGCGCGCGCGGGCGCGCGGACGAGCTGCTGGGGAGGGCCCTGCCCTGGGCACCCGGGGGGGTGGTCAGGGCCCGGGACGGCGCCCGGCTCAGGGCGAGGCAGCAGCCGCCCGCCGCGGGCCTCCCCCCGGCCTGGCTTGCAGTTCCAGGGAGGGGAGGGCGGATCTGGCGCAGCGGACCCGGTCCACATCCCCGGGGGCGCATCCCTGCCGCCTCGGGCGGGATGCTGTGGGGCTCCTGTTGACCTGCTCTCGAGGCCGGGGACCTCCCCCGGCTGGGCCTGACCGGAGGCGGGGAACAAAGGGGACTCACACCCTGGCGGGCTCCGGGCCAGGGCCCCAGGCCAGCACCCGGTTCCTGCACCATCTCCCCATGTGCGCCCAGTGGAACCTGGCCAGGGCGCAGTGCAGTGACCGCGGGACACCGTGCCTCTGGGTCCCCAAAAAGGCTGCGGCTGTTCCCTGCCAAGCCAGCACACACAATCGATGCGGTGTTCCCAGCCCGGCCCGAGGAGTGGACATCGACCTGCCCACTGGGTCTCAGGGTCATTCCCTGCCCCCAGAGGCCGCATGCAGGAGCTGGCCAGTGCCACGTGGTTTGGGTTGCCCTGAGCTGCAGCTGCCACAGCTGCCCCTGGCCAGCAGGGGACAATGCCAGGCCGACGTGGGCCTGGAGCCCGCGTACTCCCGCCTGCCTAGCTCAAGGCCCATCCCCTGGGTTGAGGGTGGGGGGCAGGGGCCCCCTGGGGTTTGGCCCCAGGGACCCTAATAGACCTGTAGCCCTTGGGGTGGGTCTGGGGGGGTTCAGCCTGCAGACCCCCCAGCACTCCTCAGGCCTGGTCCCTCCTTCGGAATTCCGGTCTGCTCCACCCTTTTCCTGCCCAGCTCCCTGGGGAGTCCAACTTCCCTCCGCCGGGAAGTCCCCCCCACTTCCGGTCACTGGATGTGGCCCGCAGCCCCAGACAGGTGGGACCAGCACACAGCCAGCAGCTGGTCGCTGGCTGGGGGGGGGCGGCCTGAGACGGGCTGTTCCCCCAACACGTGCCCCCCGCAGCCGAGAAGGTGAGCTCCCTGGGCAAAGACTGGCACAAGTTCTGCCTCAAGTGTGAGCGCTGCAACAAGACTCTGACGCCTGGGGGCCATGCCGAGGTAAGCCCTCTCCGGCCAGGGTTGGGGGTCGGCGAGCCCCTCCTCCTGGGCTGGCCTTCACCAGCACCCCTCCCCACCTAGCACGACGGGAAGCCCTTCTGCCACAAGCCCTGCTACGCTACACTGTTCGGGCCCAAAGGTGAGTCCGGCCAGCAGGGACTTGCTCAGGTTCTGGGGACCCTGCCCAGCTCATCCTTAGGGGGGCGCCCGGGTCAGTGGCCACCTGCTGTCCTGTCCCGCAGGTGTCAACATCGGAGGTGCCGGCTCCTACATCTATGAGAAGCCCGCGGCCGAGACCACTCAGGTCACGGGTCCCATTGAGGTGCCCGTGGCTCGAGCCCCCGCCGAGGAGCGGAAGGCCAGCGGCCCCCCAAAGGGGCCCAGCAGAGGTGGGCTTAGCTGGCGTGGGGAACCGGCCTGGGCAGAGCTGGTGCCCACAGGGAGTTGGGGCTGAGCCACCCGCCTCTTTCTGCAGCCTCCAGCGTGACCACATTCACCGGGGAACCCAACATGTGCCCCCGCTGCAACAAGAGGGTCTACTTTGGTGAGTGACGCCCTCCCCCTCCCCGCGCCCCTGCCTGCGCCCCTCAGCCCCCCACCCGCCTCACCCCTTCCTCCCCAGCCGAGAAGGTGACTTCGCTGGGCAAGGACTGGCACCGACCCTGCCTGCGCTGTGAGCGCTGCGGGAAGACGCTGACTCCGGGTGGCCACGCCGAGGTAGGGGCGCGGTGGGCGGGCGGGGCGCGGGGCGGTGCCAGGGCCGGGGCTGCCCCCTGGTGGCCAGTGGCGGCTCCGCCCTGGCCCCCCGCTGAGTCCCTGCCCGCCCGCAGCACGACGGCCAGCCCTACTGCCACAAGCCCTGCTATGGAATTCTCTTCGGACCCAAGGGTGAGTGCAGCGAGTGGGTGGGGGACCCAAGGGTGAGTGCAGCGAGCGGGTGGGGCGGAGCCCGCGCCCGCGGCCCCCTTCTACCCTGCCTCTCCCCACAGGCGTGAACACTGGGGCCGTGGGCAGCTACATCTACGACAAGGACCCCGAAGGCAAAGTGCAGCCCTAGGCGGTAGCCCGCCCCCACCCCCACCTGCTCGGCTGGGGGCGAGCCCGCCTGCCCTGCCCTGCCCTGCCCCGCCCCGCCCACAGATGCCGCCCCTGCGTCTGGGGTGCAGGTAGCTGCAAGATGTGCCCCCTGTTCCCGTCGCCCTCCCTGCTCCCGTCCCGGGAGGTCCCCGTCTGGTGCCCGGGGGGTCTCCGAGGGGCCCTGTCTCCTGAACCCCGCCCCGTGCTTGCCGCCAGTGTTATTTATACTGTCCTCGCCCCCGGTGGCCGCGCCAGGCCGCTCCCAGCGCCCCGCTGGAGGGCCCCTGTCGGCCTCCCCGGCCCACACTGCCTCCAGCGGCCACTGCCCAGCTGCTGTCAATAAAGGTTGCGATCACCGGCCCGAGTCTGTCTGTGCTTGCGGGGACGCGCCCCGGGCCGGCGCCCCCGCCCTCCGCGGCCACGTGTGTGGGAGGGGCGGGGCGCGGCGCGGCGCAGGGGGCGCGGCGGCCGCCAGGGGGCGCTGCGCCCCCGCTGCCCGCGCACAACCCGCCCCGCCCGCGAGGGCAGCGGCGTCGGGCTCGCGCGGGGGAGCTGCCGGGGTCCGGGGCGCGCGGGCGCTGCTCCCGGGACGCGGGGGGCGGGGTCCCCGGGGACCTCGCGAAGCCCCCAGGGCGAGGAGGTGGGCGGCGGGGGTCGGGAGGGCCGGCGACGGGTCCACTTCCTGCGAGCGCGCGGGGCGGACGTGCCGCTTGTTTGTTGCCGGGACGTTGTCATGGAGACGGGGCGGCGCCGCCGGCGCTGGTCCAGCCGCGCCGCGGGGGCGGCAGGGGGCCCGCAGGGGGAGCGCGAGTGCCCCCTGGCCATCCACCCCGCTGCAGCCAGTGAACTAGGCGCCCGAAACACCCGACCCCCCCATCCCCTAGGGACCCCCTCCAGACCCCGGGGACCACGTCCGAGCCCCCACGTGGCGCTGTGACCCGCCAGGCGGGCCCATGGACTTCCCCGCAGGGCCCCTGCACCCACGCGTCCCGGCCAGGCCCCGCCAGCACCCCACACTCTGCCCTGGGCCAGCCCCTGCTGGAGATGCCCTGGGGCCGCGCCGACGGCAGCCTTCTGAGTCCCCCAGGACTCGCGGGCTGGTCCGGGCCGGAGGGCGCGCCCAGGTGCCCCGGCCACGCGGGAAGGGGGGGCTGCGCACTGGGCAGGCCGGGCTGCTGGACCGACCGCGCTGGAATTCGAGGCGGTTCCTCCCGGCCTCTGGCTCCGGTCCCCGGGATTCCTGGAACCAGGCTCAACGCCCAGGGGGTACGGGCAGCCCCCTCGGGCCGCGCCGGGTGCGCACTGCAGAGGTGCCCGGCGCTGGTCCCCGCCCCTTGACCCAGCGACCCTGCTGCTCCCGCGTTGCTGCCAGGCGCGGCCGGGCACGGGGGTCCCGCGAGACGGCGCTGCTGAAAATAGATGCTGGGAATGTCTGAGCCGGTGACCCCAGGGGCCTGTGACCAAGCGGGGAGGGTCGGCCTTGGGGACTGGGGCCGGAGGCCGGAGGTGGGGCACTGACCACGCTGGGCCCCGCGCGCTGCCAGAGAACGGGTTCTGGGGGTGGAGTGGCCAAGTGCCGCCGTCTGGGGGGGGTACACGGCCCCGAGAACATTCCCCAGGAGGCGAGCGGCCCTAGGGATGGATTCCTCAGCGGTCACTGGACCGGTCCTTACTGGGGGGGCTTGCGGGGGCGGGAGCCCAGCCCTGCCGCATCTCCTGGCTCTCCCTGTCTGTCTTTCTCTCCCCTCCCCTGACTCCTGCAGCATGGGGGGTTCTGTCCCCCCAGACGCCGCGGAGCTAGTTTGCAGGCGCCGCTAGGACGGGATGGAGGGGCCTCCCTCCCCACAGCTGCCTTGCCCGATGAGGCAGGACATTCTGAGCACTGCCGTAGCCTGGGGCATGCCACGGGCTTGGTCGTGCGGTGTCCCTGTCCAGGCCGCTCTGTGCCTGGGCCCCTGCAGTGGGCAGCAGGGCTGAGACAGGGCGCGGCGGGTCGGTGGACCGTGCAGCCCGGCTCCCCGGCGGGCCTGCCCCGAGTGTGTGTGCGCGCGGATGTGTGCAGGGTGGGGGTGGGATCTGGGAACACGGTGCTGTAGCTGGGCGCAGGGTGCGCCTCCGGCCCTTGGTTCTCCGTGGCCCCTCCCCCATCATGGCCATGGCAACGGGCATAACAGCGGGCAGAGAGGAGTCATCGCTCTGGTTTTCAAGGGGGGCCACCCCTGCGGGCGGGGTTGCGTCGGGCGATGGGGCGGGCTGGGGTGGAGTGGGGGTGGGGGAAGAGGAGCCAGGCTCGGGCTGTCCACCCCCATCCGCCCCCACGGGTGTCCCGTGGGCAGGGCAGGAACCTGGGAGGGCAGTGCACGCCTGGCACCGCTGGCTCACCCACCAGGCATGCCCAGGGCGCACCCTCGCAGCCATGCCCCAGGTACCCAGGAAGGTGGCCTGCCTGGGGGTGCAGGCCCAGCACCCGACACCCCTGTGGGCAGCCACTGCTCGGCCTTTGCTCTGCTGCCGTGTCTGCCTCGGGGCCGTGTGCTTCCGCTCCAGCCCTTCCCCCTCATCCCTGCCCCTGTCCTGCCGCAGGCTTCTGGGACAGAGAGCACATCTGGCTGTGTTTTGTGTTTTATTTTTGTTTGGGGGCACGCCTGGCAGTGCTGACTCCTGCCTCTGTGTTCAGGGATCACTCCTGGCGGGGCTCGGGGGACCATATGGAGTGCCCAATGGTCACTCTGGCCCCTAGAAGGCTTGTGTGTGGACCCTCCGCTTGGGACAGGACGGGGAGGAGCAGGATCAGGTGGGGGTGCCCTGGGACAGGTGGGGGGGTCTCTGCCCCTCCTTTGCCTTCTGTGGGGCCCTGGCGAGGACCAGGCCTAGCTAGGCTGGAGATGCCACTTCACTGCATGAGATGGTGAGTCGGGAGATGAGGGGCGCAGAGAGAGAATGCGGGGCACAGGGAGGCGCGTGCCTTGCAAGCAGCTGACCCCGGTTGGATCCCGCACACCCCATACAGCCCTGAGCCCTGCCCTGAGCTCAGAGCCAGGAGTAAGCCCTGTGTGCGGCAAAAAGCCCGAGAAAAAGGAAAATAAGATGAGGACACTGGGGGCTGGAAGGGAGGGGCTGCAGAGGGGACCCGAGGCTGAGGCTGCGTGTGGCCGGGTGCCAGTGCTGATGAGATGGGAGATGAGATGGAGGCGCCAGAGGCCAGGCAGGCACAAAGAACAGGTGCTTCCCCAGGTTCTAGGGAACCGCACCCAGGCTGAGTAAGGGCTGTGGGCAGTGGCTCCAGGGATGGGCCAGGGTCAGTCAGTCTCTGCCTGGGGCACCTGGGCGGGGTGAGGGGCAGGGGCAGACTCCACCCACCCAGAGAAGGACCCTTGCCAGGCGCTGGGGGGGCACCACCTCCCGCTCGCTCCAGCGTGTGCCCCCCCTCCCCCGCCTCCGCGCTCTGCATCCCGGGTTCCGGAGTGAGGGTCCTGCGACTTGTGTTCCTGCAGGGTGCACGGAAGAGAGTCCGCAGGGAGAGGACGGGCGAAATGTGGGGACACTAGTATGCTGATTGCCTTTTATATTTGGGGTTACAACCGGGCAGGGGTCAAGCCGGGGCTCTTGCGGCCCTTGGAGCATCCAGCTCGCGCCTGTTTGCTTCGGAGAGGCCCAGGCCTGCCCAGCCGCCCCCCGACAGACAGCCGGACTCCGGAGCCCCCCGCAGGAGCCCCCTTCCGGAAAGCCCCCGCGACCCGTCCGCGCCCGCTCCCCGTCCCAGGGGCGGGTGGGGCCCGTGACTCTTCTTGGCGCCCTGCTCTGGAACCCGGGTCCCCCGGGTCCAAGTCCGGAGCCAGGGCGGGACGGCGGGCGGGGCGTGGCCTCCGGGGGGCCGGGCTCGCGGGGTCCCTCAAAGGCGCGGGTGCGGCGGGACCCACCCAGTCCCGAGCCGTCCTGCTGCCGCGTGCCTTCTCCCGCTCGGACCCGCGCCGTCATGCCCAAGTGCCCCAAGTGCGACAAGGAGGTGTACTTCGGTGAGCGGCCCCTGCCACCCCGGGTGCCCGGGACACGCGCGCCCGACGCGGAAGCGCGCTCGAGGGGACGCCCGGCGGGGACCGGCCCGCGAGGGCTGCGCGCCCGATCCCGGCGCTGGGCGGCTTGTCTGGGGGCTCCCGGGCTCCTGGGCGGGGACCCTCGAGGGCAGGAGGAAGCGGCGCCCGGCGACGCCCTGCCCGGCGAGGAGCGGACCCGACGCGGAAACCGACGCCCGCGGCACCGGCCGGGGCGCGCTCGGCCCCGCCTGCGTCCGCTCGGTTCCGCTCAGCCCCGCTCTGCACCGCCTTGGTCGGGCCGGGTCCCGCCCGGTCCCGCTCTGCCTCTCTCCGTCCTGCTCTGTCCCGTGCCGCCCGTCCGTCCCCGCTGGACCCCGCCTGGACCCTCTCTGCGCCCCGCCCGGGCTCCCTGAGCCTCGCCCGGCCCCCCTGCACCCCGCCCGGCCCCTCTGCGCCCCGCCCGGACCCCTTGAGCCCCGCCCGGCCCCCCTGCACCCCGCCCGGACCCCCTGCACCCCGCCCGGACCCCTTGAGCCCCGCCCGGACCCCTCGAGCCCCGCCCGGTCCCCCTGCACCCCGCCCGGCCCCTCTGCGCCCCGCCCGGACCCCTCGAGCCCCGCCCGGTCCCCCTGTACCCCGCCCGGACCCTCTGAGCCCCGCCCGAACCCTCTGAGGCCGCCGGTCCCCCGTACCCCATTCGGACCCTCCGAGCCCCACCCGGGACCCTCTGAGCCCCGCGCGGTCTCCCTGTACCCCGCCCAGTTCCCCTGTACCCCATCCAGACCCTCTGAGCCCCGCCCGGCCCGCTCCTTCCCGCGCTGCCCGGCTCAGTCCTGCTCGGTCCCCCTCGGTCCCCCTCGGTCCCCCTCGGTCCCCCTCGGTCCCGCTCCCGCCATCCTCCCGGCCGTGCTCAGCCCTCAGCGCCCCGCCCCGCCCCCTCCCCAGAGCCGGGGCAGGAAGTGGGACGCCCCCGCCCGCCGCGAACCCCCCCCCCCCCCCCCCCCCCCGCCACCCGTTTGCAGGAACCACGGGAACAGGGGCGGGGTGTGTGGGGGGAACCCCAGGGCCAGCGCCCCCACCCTGTTTTGGCGGGCTTGGGTCAGAGCTGTCGCCACCCACCGGACAGGACCCAGCCCCTGGTGCCTGCCCCCTGTGTCACTCACCTCCTCTCTGTCCCCAGCCGAGCGGGTCACCTCCTTGGGGAAGGACTGGCACAGGCCCTGCTTGAAGTGTGAGAAATGCGGGAAGACCCTGACCTCAGGGGGCCATGCCGAGGTAGGTGGGGGGCTGGCGGTGGGTGGGGGTGGCGCGGGGTGTGGGGGGGTGTAGGACGCCCCCGTCACCCGCCTTCTCCGCAGCATGAAGGCAAACCCTACTGCAACCACCCCTGCTACGCCGCCCTGTTCGGGCCCAAAGGTACGTCATCCTCGGCTCCCACCCGCGGCCCCCACCCACTCCCCACAGGCCTCCCACGCCCCAACTGCCCCTGGTTTTCCCTGCAGGCTTTGGGCGCGGCGGCGCTGAGAGTCACACCTTCAAATGATCCCAGGTACCCCAGCTCTTTCCCGCTGCCCTCCTTGGGGTCGGGCTGCCCTGGCCTGCAGGGGTGAGACTTGGCTCTGGCTCCGTTTGCAGGTTGAAGGCATCCTGTCCCTGGCTGCCCGCGGACACCAGGCCGTTCCTCCAGGCATCTGAGGCCCCATGTGGACCCACCTGCCCTCAATAAACCCCAACTCTGGGAAAGCCAGAATGTGCGTGTGTCCTTGTGTGCGCGTGTGGATGCACTGACACGTGTTCGTGCTGTGCTCACGTCCACGTGTGTACCTATCTGCAAATACACCTGTGCACACGTGAGGGGATGCATGTAAATGCATGTTTGCACGTGTGTGCAGGGGCACAACTGTTTGTGCTCATGTGTGTGCAGCTTGCCTCCTGTGGGGCACAGGTGCTGTACCGGGGGTCCTCAAGTGCAGACCCCTGGGCAGAGCGGGCGCCCCTTCTCCCCCAAGCAGGCTCCTCCCAGCCCGGTGAGAGTGTTGGGGGCCAGGTCGGAGGTGCCGTGCTCGGTTTTAGTGGTTCCCTTTCTGAGTCCTTGCCTGGCCTCCCCACTTCCTGCCGCCCCGCCCTGCTCCCCTTGACCCTGAGGGGAATTTGGACAGCCCAGGAGTACTGAGTGCAGAGGCTCCCTGGGCCTGCGGAGCCCCACACTCACGCCCACAATGGCCGCATGGGCTTGGCCTGGGCTGGTGGAAGGAACCAGGGGGCTCAGGACAGCCTTGTTTGGGGAGGTGGGGCCTGGTCCCCAGGCTGTGAAGGCCCTGGTGGGTGGTCTGGGCACTCGGGAACCTTGTGTGTGGGCTTGGTAGTTCTGGATGGAACAGGAGGGGCTGGGGACAGGAGCAGATTCAGGGGTGGGGTGGGGTGGTGTGGCTGGCAGTGAGGCTCAGGGGCATGGTGACCCCACAGCAGAGTGGCCAGTGGGGCACTAAGGACTGGGACAGGCTACCCCTGTCATTTGCGTTCCGAGACTCAGGGGCTCCCTCCTCTGTGGTTTCCCCACTAGCTCATGGCCCCGGCCCCAGAAGCCTCCTGCCCACCTGTGGGCCCCACCGCCCTGTGTCCGCCTCCACCCTGTGGATCCTGCCTGCCCGTGGCGTCCCAGGTGGCTCCCACCAAACCCATTGCCCCCTGACCTCTTGGTGACTCCCCATGGCTCCCCTCCACCCCCTACCCACCCACAGCTCCCAGTGGTCCTGCCCCCAAGTGCACCCCCCAGTCCTGGCCTCCCCAGGACCCGGCTCTCCAGCTCTGTCTTGGCTCCTGGGCTCGTCCCCAGGACCCTGTGGGGTGAGTGTCATGGAGCGGGCACCTGTGCCAGGTACCAGCCTCAACGGAGCAAAGGTCAGGGGTGGAACCCCAGGCTCACAAACCAAAGGGCAGGGCTTAGGGACTACAGCGCAATAGGGTGCTTGCTTGCACAGGCCGTCCCGGTACCAGGCTCGGTCCCCATATGGTCCCCTGAGCACCTGGGAGTAATTCCTGAGAGCCAGGAATAACCAGGAATAGCCAGGAATAGTATTGTCAGGTACATGACCCCCCCCAAACAAAAACAAAAACAAAAAACAGAAACCAAAGGCCAGTGGTGAGTGGGGCAGGATTGCCATGAGGCTGCTCTAAAGGCGGGCCTGAGGGTCTCAGGGGTGAGGGATGTGCCTCAGTGTCCCACGCTGGGAGGGGCGGGGCCGGGGAGGTCCCCAGCTCCGTGAGGAAAGGAGTCTGCTGGTGTTGTCTGAGCTGAAGGGCTGGTGGACTGGGCGTACATGGGAGCCCGAGCGGCAAAGGGCGGCGCCGCTGGGAGTGGGGGGGGGGGTTTCCGCCCGCACGCCCTAGCTTGGGGCACGCGCCCAGGGACTCTCCTGGGGTTCCCCCCGCCGCCCCGGCCCCCGGTGCTGCATCTGTGCCGCCTCTTTTTTTTTTTTTTTTTTGCTTTTTGGGTCACACCCGGCGATGCTCAGGGGTTACTCCTGGTTCTGCACTCAGGAATTACTTCTGGTGGTGCTCGGGGGACCCTATGGGATGCTGGGAATCGGAACTGGGTTGGCCGCGTGCCAGGCAAACGTCCTTCCCGCTGTGCTATCGCTCCAGCCCCTGTGCCGTCTCTTAGGGGTACAGGTGCGCTGAGCTCTCAAGCAGGCCCGAGCTACTTTCCTAAGGGGCCGGTGGGTGCAGCAGGGGGAGGGAGCGCCAGAAGCCGAAGGCGCGGGGACATGGGCACGGAGGGGGGTGCAGAGCCGGCCCGGGACGCACGGCGGGAGTTTCCGGGAGCAGCGGGCCAGGCGGGCTGGGCGGGGAGCCGCCGCCAGGTGCAGCGGTCTGCAAACGCCGGGCGCAGGGGGCGGGGCCCGAGGCGGCGGGGCGGGGTCGCCGTCTTCCGATTGGTCCGCGCCTCCCGGAAGAGCCCGCCCGGGACGCAGGCCATTGATTGGACAGGGCCGGAGGCGCGTCCTGGCGCGCGCAGGCATTGGGCGAGAGCCCGGCGGAGGCGGGACCAGCGCCGCGATTGGGCGCGGGCGTCCGGCTCGCGGCGGCGGGCAGTCCGAGGGGGCCAGGGCCGGCTGCATGGGGCGGCCGCGGGGCCGCGAAGGCCGATCGAACGGGGCCGGGGCCCTGCCCGAAACTATCGCCGCGCTGAGCCGGGCGCTGCCCGCCGGGCCCAGCCCCGAAATCTTTCGCCGAGCCAAGTTCGACCGTCCGGAGGCGGTGAGGCCCGCGCCGCAGGGGCCTGGGTCTCGGCGGGAGCCCCTGGCGGGCGCGAGGAGAACCCCTCGGCTGACCGCCCGTAGTTTGGTCTCTGCAGGCCCCCGCGCTCTGGCGGCTGCTCGCGGACGTGCTGTCGCCGCACCCGGCGCCCGGCTCCTCGCCGCCTCTAGGTAAGCCCCGCCCCGCCGCGCGCCCGCGCCCCGCGATTGGCTCGGCCCGGAGGCCCCGCCCACCCGGCCTGCCCATCAACAGGCCACGCCCCGGGAGTATTGCTGGCCCCGCCCATTCTTGTAAAGTGTGGCCCCGGGTTTCCCCGCGCTGGGCACGCCAGCCGCCCCCCTCGGTAGTCAGTCCCCGGCCTCATCTTGGTTTCGTCCCGGTCCCCTTGCAAGTGACCCTCCCCCCGGGCCGGGGCCTCTGCGCGGGGAGGGCGGGCGGCTGGCGGCTGGCGGCGCTGCCCCGCGCGATCCCGCTGAGCTGCCCGTCCCGTGTGCAGAGGCCCAGGCCCGCCTGGCGAAGGCCGCCCTGCGCTCTCGGGGCTACCCGCGGCGGGCGCTGGCGCTGCTCCCCGAGGATGGCTCGCAGGGCAGCCGGGAGCTGCTGCTGGCCCTGGCCTGGCTGCTGGCCCGCGGTCCTCTGCTGCAGCAGCTGCTGGAGCGCTCCCGCCTGCGGCTGGGCGACGAGCTGTGCGTGTGCCAGGTGGGTGAGCGAGCCGGCCCGGACCCTGGCGGGACTCGGGTGCCACCTGCTGGCCTCCGGTTCTGGGGCCAGGCCTGGGGCTGCCCGGGGGTCTCCCGGTCCCGGCGCCCCTCGGGCACGGGCACGCCTCCCTGTCTCCTCTCTGCTGGTCTCTCCCGAAGGCGTGTGGGGACCGCTGGTGACCCTGACCCCCCCTGCAGTGTGAGGCGCCGGCCCGCCCCGGCCCTCCCGCGCCCAGTGTGGACGCAGATGGCCCCGTGGACATCCGCCAGCTGCAGTGGCTGATGGGAAAGCTGCGGTTCCGCTGGCGCAGCCTCTTCTCCATGCAGCAGGAGCAGTGCGCCCTGCTGGCCAAGGTAGCTGCCCCGCTGGCCATGTGTGCGCTTTGGAGCCGAGTTCCAGGCAGCCCTGGGTGGAGGAGCACGGCGGTGCCCCCGCAGAAGTGGGGCGTCGGTGTCCAGAGGTCTCTGGCTGGGGCTGTCACTGAGCATTGAACTGATCTGGCCTGCCCCACTGGGGAGACCTCCCTCCCCATAGACCCGGGACTGTCGTGTCCCCACCTGTCACCTCACTGGGGACCAGAAGGGGTTGGGGATCCCCCTGGGTTTCCCTCTGCAGGGCTCTCAGTGGGCCCTCGGTGGGCAGCGCTGTCAAGTGCCACCTCTGTGGCCTGTTTTAGATTCACAGCTACACCCGGGGCTGCCACGGGGACCGGGTCCTCGGCCACCTGTCTGTGACAGAGACGGAGCTACTCAGGGACCCCCGTCACGGCCAGCAGGTAAGGGCCGCAGACTCCGGCTGTTGTGCTGCAGGGACCCTGGGAGTCACCCCATACTGCTGACCTTCCAGGGCTTGCCTGGGACTGGCCTCTCCAGGGCGGACGGGGTCTGCTTGCCCAGCAGGGATGCACTACCAGGAGACCAGGCTGAGCCGAGGGCCCACACGCACCCGGGAGATCCGGCTCAGAGCCCGGGGTCCCTCAGGGGCACCCACTCCCTGGCCAGGGCCCACATGAGCCTGCGTGGTTGTTGCACATTGCCAGACATCCCCGCATGCCCCGGCTCTGCCTGCTTTTGTGGGTGCCTCAGCTGGAAGCAAGCAGGGGCTGCCGAGGGAACCCCCAGAGGCGGGTGGCAGCCTGGGGTGAGCGGGCGAGGGACTGTTCCGCATTCTGCATGCGCCTGTTGGTGGGGTCCCTTAACTGTGGGGAGGGTGGGCTGCACCCCCTGTCTCATGGCCCTCCCGGGCTTCTCCCGAGCTTCCAGGCTCCACCTGCCCTGTGGACAGGGCCTCCCCAATCTTGGGCGCCAGGCCCCGTGCCGGTTGGCGGTGGCTCCTGTTGCAGGGGTGCCCCAGCTCCCCGCCCCCTTCCCCTGAGCATGGCCCCTCCAGAGCTCTGTGTGGCCAGCAGCCCGCAGGACAGCCTCTCTGCTGCCTTGGGGTCCTGAGTTACGGGCAGGCTCTGAGCTGCCCACAGCGCGAAGCTTCCCTTGGTCACAGCTGCTGCAGAGCCTGGAGCAGGAGAACATGCGCCTGGAGGCCGCCGTGGCATGGAGGCGCCACCAACTGGTCTTCTGGCAGTGGGCGGTGAGCACGGGGGCTCCTGGGGCTCCCCGGCGGTGGGCACAGCCCTGCTGGCACCCGCCTTCTCTTCCCTCATGCGACACGGCCGTGTCCGTGCCTCAGGCTGCCGGGTGTGGCCGAGCCCTTCCGGCCCCCGCACAGCCCTGGCCCTGGCAGCCTGTGGTACAGCCTGGGTGGGGGCTTCTCTCCGCAGGACACTGTGCTGAGGACTTGCCCCCCCGACGCCCCGCGGCCCGGGATCCCCACGGGGGCGCCCGGTGAGCTGGAGCTGTTGTCGCAGGAGCTGCGGGCCCTGCACGAAGAGCTTCGGGTCGCGGCCGAGACGCGGCGGGCAGCCTGGGAGGCTCGGGTGAGGGACCTTGCTGGGGTTGGGCAGGGCCGGATGGGCAGGATGTGGGGGCGCCCCCTCGGCAGCTGACTCTCCGTGCCCAGTGCGGCCCCGGAGGTGGGGCGGGGTGGTTGGGCCCGGGGCGCTGGGGTCCTCCATGGGGGGCACACACCTGAGGCCAGTGTGTGCCGCGCAGGCTGGAACCCTGGGCCCTGAGTGGACAGTCTGGCACCGCGTCTCGCAGGAGGCTGTGCGACAGGAGCTGGCAGTGCTGCATCAGGCCTGGGAGCAGGCCGGGGCCCCCATCCCACCCCTCGGGCCCTACCGGCTTGTGAGGCGAGAGGCGGCAGGATCCAAGGGCCCAGGCCTGCGGGCAGCCCAGGTGATCGAGGCACTGAGGAGCCGGGAGGCCTGCCTGGAGGCGGTGCTGCACCAGCTGCAGGGACAGTGTCGCCAAGAGCTGGCCCGGCTGGCGGGAGCCCAGCCCGGCCTCCTCTGGATCCTGCTGTCCAGATGCTGAGGCTGAGGCACGTGCTGTCCTGCTCGGGGAGGGCTCGGGGCCGGGCTCTGTCCACGTGCACGCTCTGGTGGCAGCTCCCAGTGGCTCCTGCCGGGCCAGGCTGCCCTCCCTGGGCCTGTCACAGGCGTGTCCAGGCCTGGCTGCCTGCGCCCCCCTCCCCCCGCTGTCCCCGTGCCGTGTCCTGTGTGTCGTGTGTGCGTGTGCGTGTGTGTGCTGCACGCTTGTGGGGTGGGATGTCGCCAGATGGGCACCTGGAGGGGGCTTCGCGCCTTTCCTGGCGGGGGCTGGGGCCGAGGGGGAGGCCAGCGTGGACAGGGTGGCCTTTGTTCCCGAGGCTGCTCTCAGCTCGGCCGACAAAGAGCCGCCTGTGTGGGGATCGGGGGATGTGCCCGGCCCTCGGGGTGCAGAGCCTGGGGCTGCTTCTGCGCAGGCTCCCAGAGAGCCCTGGGGCGCGCCCGTGAGAGGGACTGGAGAGGGCCCGGGATGCACTCGCCTTGCAGTGGGCCCTCGTGGCCCGGGTGGTGCAGGGCACGCTGGGGCCCACCAGCCTTGCTGCTGGCCTTCCTGGGAGCCACTGGGCCCCGCGGGAGGCAGGAGCGGCCGGCCCCCACTCAGGGCTGCTGCAGGGACCCACTTCTCTCAGCCCCCAGGCACAGGCCACCTGAGCCCTCCTGCCATGGGCCTGGCATAGCTGCTGGGAGTAGTGAGGGATGCGGACAGTGTCCCTCCCCCCTTTTTTTTTTTTTGCCATGGAGATTTTTCTCCTTTATTTTTTTTATTATTATTTTATTGAATCACCGTGAGATAGTTACAAGCTTTCGTGTTTGGGTTACAATCACACAATGATCAAACACCCATCCCTCCACCAGTGCACATTCCCTACCACCAATCTCCCCGGTATGCCCCCTTTTCCCGCCCTCCCTCTGCCTCCGTAGCAGACATGATTCCCCATAATCAATCTCTACTTTTGGGCATTATGGTTTACAATACAGACCCTGAGAGGTTGCCATGTTTGGTCTTTTATCTGCTTTCTGCACACATCTCCATCCCGACCGATTCCTCCAGCCATCTTTTTCTTAGTGATTCCTTCTCTATCCCAGCTGCCTTCTCCCCTTTTCCCATGAAACAGGCTTCCAGCTATGGAGCAATCCTCCTGGCCCTTGTATCTACTGTCCTTGTGTGTCAGCCTCATGTTATGTTGTTTTATACTCCACCAGTGTCCCTCCTTGTCGCTTTCCGGACCACCCTCCATGCTGGGACCTTTGCTCAGGGTTTAGCGTTCCAGCCGTTATTGCCTGGCAGCCCAGAGCCCTCGGGGGCACCTCCGGTGTTCGTTGTCTGCCATGTGAAAAGGAACCCCGACACTTGTTTGTTTGTGCCATACAGCTTAGAGAGTGCTGGACAGGCTAGTAGGAAACAAGGGACCCCACCCCTATTTTGGGGGCCAATACACCGAGCACTGTTCAGGGCTTGTCCTGATCCTGCCTGAGTGCTCCCGACGGTGGTGCTCGTGGTAGAACTGGGACCTCCTCTAAGAGAGCCTTCGCTCCGCCCTCTGGGCGTCTCCTCATCTCTGAGCATCCCCTAATTCTTTCTGAGCGGAGCAGGTTGGGGCATGTTCCTAGTTCTTATGTTGCGGGGTCACGCCTAGTGGTGCTTGGGCATCGATGGAACTGGGGTTGCCCAAGTTCAAGACACGCGCTGCCCTCGTGTTCTCGCTCCACTCCCTCTCCCCCACGGAGGCCAACTGTCCTGCCTCTCCTTCCCTCGGCTGGCTGTCCCACCCACCATGTCTGTCCATCCCAGGGGCCCAGCTTCCTCTCGCCCATTCTCAGTTCCTGCCCCTGCTCTGGTCTGAGCCTCGTCCCAGGTCCCACAGAGTTGTGCTGCCGAGGCCCACCCGCTGGAGGAGACTCAGGCCTGCAGTGTGGCAAGACTTGACCACTGCACTTTCCTTTGGGCATCGGCCAGCAGGTGGCCTTCCCCCAGACAATGGGCAGTTCTGTGTCTCCAGTAAGGACCAGGCCTGGAGACGGCGAGGACTCTGCTTTTGAGGCGTGACTGACTCTTTGGGTTTTGTTTTGTTTGGGAGCTGCAGGGGTGGAACCGGACATCCTGCGTGCTGACCTGTGCACAGCCCTTTGCGCCCTCCCTGCCCATGGTTTTGGAAATGTTCTTCCTTCTTTTCTTTGGAGCTTGTGTGCGGTCAAAGGCTTTGCTTTGGTCTGTCAAAGACTTCCTCCTCTGCTTTTTTTTGTTTGTTTTAGGGCCATACCCAGCAGTGCTCAGGGATTATTCCTGGTTCTGGAGGCAGGAATTACTCCTGTTGTTAGTGCTTGTGGGATCATACGTGATGCCGGGGATCGAACCCAGGCCAGCCCCCTACCCACTGTACCATCTCTCTCGCCCCTCTATTGCCACAGACTGGGTGTCACACTGATGACCTTGGTGCTTTTTCTGTGTTGGACTGTATTTGCATTCCTGTGATGAATGCAACCTGATCCTGTAGCTTGAGCTTGTAACACCCACAACCCACCAGGATCCCCCCTGGCAGTGCTCAAGGGTGTGCTGGGCTTCAGAGGCGGGCACTGCATGCACATTGCCCATCTAACTCCCTGTCCCTGAAGTTCTTGGATGAGGCACAGTTGATACATGTATTTTTCATGGGTTGTGCTTTTGGTGTCAATCCAAAATGTCACATCTAAAAGCATCTTGTTAATGAAGGTTTTCAGTCAGGTTTTCTTGTAAAAGATTTGGAGTTTTAGGGGGCTGGAGGGCGTGCAGCAGGTAAGGGGCTGGCCTTGCATGTGGCTGACCCAGGTTTTATCCTCGGCATCCCCTACGGCCTCCCAAGTGCTCATCAGGAGTGATTCCTGAGTGCAGAGCCAGGAGTGATCCCGAAGTATCACTGGGTGTGGTCCAAAAACCAAAAAAAAAAAAATAGTTTCATGTTTATTTTTGAGTTATGACTCATTTTGAGATTTTGTGCATGGTGTAAGATTTAGCATGGAGATTTTTTCCCCTTTGCCTACGTATGTCCACTTTGGGACAAATACGGTCCTGTCTCTCTGTGGAGTCACTTTTGCACCTGATTAAAGAGGTCACACCCCGCAAACAGCAGTGGAAGTCAACATTCGCAGCCCAGTGAAGGGGATTTGCTTACCTGGCTCAAGGGCATCACTCGCTTAAGTCCACGGAGGGACCAGAAAGAGGGGGGACGGGTCGGACCCTCCGGGGAATCATACTACACGCTAAGTTGCATGCGAGGTCTAATTGGTCATCCTACAGGACCTATAAGCATGAATGTGGCGAGCTGGGTTTTTAACATGCCCATATTAGGGCATATGTGGTCTGATTGGTTGTCTTTCGGGCCTCATTTGCATAAGGGTGGATTACTTTCCCCCTGTATGGCCATATTAGGGTATGTGTGCTCTGATTGGTCATTCCACAACTCGGCACTCATTTGCATACACAACTCGATTGGTTGTTCTAATCGGATGACTTTAGGGTGTGGCCAATCACATAGCTAAAACAATTAAGGGGCAGGATACACAAAGTATATAAAAAGCAGGTCAGTAGGGAAAGGGCCCTTACTCTTCCACGGCCTCCACCACCTGCTTCTTGTTACCTTCCTGTATTTGTGTTTGTGCGGCGCTATGTCAGGGACCACTTCTAGCGGTGCTCAGGGGACCCTATGGGATGCCGGGGATCAAACCCTGGGCAGCCATGTGCAAGGTAAGCACCGTACCCCACTGTGCTATTGTTCTGACCCCAGGTTGGTTTTTTTTGTTTGCTTTTGGTTTTATTTTTGTTTGGGAGCCGCAGCCTGCGGTGTTCAGGTTTTACTCCTGGCTCTGTGCCCAGGGATTAGGGACTATATATTGGGTGCTGGGAACGGAACCTGGGTTGGCCACGTGCAAGGCAGGAGCCCTAGCCCGTGTAATGCCGTGACTCTGCTGCTTTCTGATGTGCCTACCTTGCCTGGACCAAATTGAGCAGCTAAGTAAGAGTCATAAAACGGAAGACCTGTGCTGCTTGGTACGCTCATCTAAGGCGCCTCCTCAAGAGCCCAGACCACCTCCTTGTCCTGAGACTGGGAACAAACAAGAGCCTCCCGCCGCTCCACGGCTGCCCAACACTGCGCTTGCGTTCCAGCCGCAGGCTTTTTCTTTTGACTTTATTTAAACGCCATGGTTTACAAAGTTGTTCATAATACAGTTGCTGCAGGTTTTGATGTTCCAACACTAATCCCAACACCTGAGTGCCTGAGTGACCTCTCTACCGTTGTCTCCATTTTTCCAACTGCCCCCAAGCCCGCCCTCTTAGCAGGCACGCAATAATTTGTTACATATTACTTGTTAGAACCAAATGGTTAGAGGAATTATCAAAAGATACTTAGTAAAAGAAAATTTGTGAAAGTTGCTTTGTCTCACAACCTTAAGTCTGAGGATGTACTAATCTGTTCCTTGCCTGTTGAGCCTTCTGTGGGCTCAGTGGGCTTCTGTCACTGTCTCATCTAATCTGGTGCTCTCCTGCTCTCCTGTGACAATCCCCCTTTGCCCCCAGGCCCGCTCAGGCTGGAGCTGCATATTCTCCTTTTGCGGGGGATTACACATGAAAGGATGCTCCAGGCTCTCTGGGTGGCTCTCTCGCCGCCCGCCCGCCCGCGTTAGGTGCTCTCGAGCCCTTCCCCACTCGGGACGGCTCTTGCCTTGGACGAAGGAAGAACGAGGGCCAAGCTGGATGCTGGTTAGTTGCTGTTTGTTCAGTGTCTTGTCTCCAGCTCTCCAACCGTCTCTCTAACTCGCTCTACAACTCTCCGTGGCTCCTCTCCATCTCCCCAGCCACTCTTACTCTCAGCTCTCAGCCTTCTAACTCGCGACCTCCTCCTCTGTCTCTTCTCTCTGTCCCCGTCTCTATCTCTCCCTCAGTCTTCCTCAGACTCAATCTACTCGTCCCTCTGTCACCGTCTCCCTGTGTGTCTCTCTCTCTCTGTCTCTCCACCTCTCTCCGTAACTGTCTCTGTCTCTCTAACCCCG